CCCACGTTCCTCCATTGCAAATCACTGTAAACCCACCATCGCCCTTCTGAGTTTTAGAATTAGTGATTCCTTAGAGCAACCAGCTATATTTCTAAGAAAACTTCCTAGTGATAAAATGCTGTCTTTCAATATCAAGATGTGTTTTCCCACATCGATTCAGTTCAGACACCCAGGTCCTGCTTCAGTGAAATACAGGGGACTCGACACTCCTGGCCATGCAAATGTGGCTTTTTTTTTTTTTTAGGCTTTTATATGAGGATTATGTTCTGCCAATCAACTCTTACATTTTCAGATTTTGAATTGAACACGACAGTGTCACAAAGCCTGAAGCAAAACTAGCGTCCAGCACAAATAAACATTCCAATTGTAACGATTTATTCAGGGGAACTGTTGGGGCTTTTGGCTTAAGCATGACGTGTGCATGGTGCCCTCGTGTAGCACAGGTTTCTAAATAAAATCATTTCTACCAAGACAGCTTCCCAGTGGCTCATTTTGTTTCTCCCCTAACATGACACCTGCTCTGTGGTCAGAGTGGGGGCTCCTTCGTGACTAGATGGAGACAATCAGGTGGGAGGGTGGAGGGGTGCTCGGGCCGCAGCCACGTCCTCGGATGGCTGGGAGGAGGGCAGGTCAGCCAACTCCTTTCTCACGCAGGCCGCACCGGGACGTGCAGGCCCGTGAACAACAAACTCACTGCAAGAAATACCTGCCTCTGGAGAAGAAAACTGCAAACCCCTCAAAATCGCTGAGTCCCCAAGGCTTCCCAGCACCACCAGCTGAGGCTGCTCCGCCACAGACTGCCCTGCCCCGGCAGCTCCTGTCTGGCGAGCCCGAGCGCACTGCAGCCTGGGGGCCAGACAGCGGTGAGACGCTCCCGGGGCACAACCTCGCCAGGGCCGGGTTGGGCAGGGTCCTCACGGAAGGGCTTGCTGTTAGTGGACACCACACACAGAGGGCTGGAAGGCCAAGAGCTCACAGTTTGGGGTGTCAAGTGTTGTTGGGAAGTTCCGAGATGAATGGCAAAGCTCTCCGCCTGGCAGGCAAGTAATGAGGAGTCAAGTTTTGTAAAAGAAAACAAAATAGCAAAGCCTTGTTACTGGGGACAGCAGCTGCCGTGGTTGGGTGGTTCCAGTATCCCAGTCACGTACAGGGCGAGGGGCAGGAGGGAGTGGTTTGGGTCCTCACCCACCGGAAAATCACTAAACCCTGCTACCGCTTCCCTCCTGAGATACAAGTAAGGTGCCATCTAGACAGGTCTCCCTTCCCCACACCAATCTAACCAAATCAATGGGAACTGAAGGCCAGTGACCCCTCAGGTCCTCCAACGAGCCACACTCCCAGGCCGCCCAGTAGTTCCCCTCCTGCACTGGTTGGAGCCCAGCCTGGTGCACAGATGCTTGGGAAAAGCCCCAACCACACAGGCAGTCTGACTGCCCCAAGAGGGACCAGCAGGTAGAGAGCAGCCCAAGGTAGCCAGGGGAGGGCGCATGGAGGGGGAGAGACACTTGACTGTCCAGGCAGCCCAGTAGCCACCCAGGGCACCAGCACATGCCACTTGGAGAAGACTTGTGGGACCCCAAACAGCCAAGCCATAGCCCAGGAAATAGTACCCAGGCCTGCCCGGCAGAGGCCACCACTGCCTGCCCAATCAGGAGCAAAAAAGAGGAGCCCGCCCTGGCCGATTTGGCTCAGCGGTTAGAGCGCTGGCCTGCGGTCCAGAGAGACCCATGTTCGGTTCCCGTAAAGGGCACGTACCTCAGTTGCAATTTGTCCCCAACCCTGGTTGGGTCGTGTGGGTGGCAACCACTCGATGTGTCCCTTTCACATCGATGTTTCTCTCTCTCTCTCTCTTTCTCTCTCTCCCCCCCCCCTCCCACTTTATCTGAACAAAAAATGTCCTCGGGTGAGGATTAAAAAAAAAAGAGGAGCCTACCTGGTCCTCACTCTAGGTCTGACCAGAATCACCAGCATAATCAACAGGTGCAGCCCTCACCACTGCATGGAATGGCCTGTCACAACCAGTAAATAACTAAAGCTCAAGCTGGGGGAGGCCGACCAGTCCCTAGACATGGGGTTCCGTTGGGAACGCAGGATTCCAGCCGCTGGCCCACCAGCTTCCTCTGCTGGACCCCAGCCCAGACCGGGGAGTTTCCTGCTGTCTTGTTGCTCCTGTGTCTGTCTGAGGTCGACTGCAAAGACAGTGGGAGTCCTTGTGGGATGTGGGACACTCCGCCTGCAGCTGCCACTTTCTCTCAGCCCCCATCTTCTTCTTCCCGTCTCACCCCTGCAGGGGCTGATCTAAGTAACATGGGGAAAGGCATTTGCAAGGGGAATGGGCCAAAGGCAAAAGCTCTCAATCAGTGGCTGGCTGCTCACAGGGGCCAAGCTCAGCAATCCTGAAGCTACTCTCCATGCCCATGAGGGCTGGCCAATAACAAGCTGTAGACAAGGGAGTCAGGCCTCCCGCTGTCAAAGAAAGGAGCTACAAAAAGCCCGTGGGGAGGTGAGAACAACCCTGCAGTGCGGGGACAAGGGGTCCGGTACAGAAATACTAACCAGATTCGTAGACACAGGTGAGTGTACATTCCTGGGCTGCTGGGGGCTTCTCAATCACTGACCCCGACCTTCGGGTGAATCACTCTTTGCTGTGGGGCTGCCCTTTGCATAGGGGGTTCCACAGCATCCTGGCCTCTTACATACAAGCAGCACCCCGCAAGTTGTGACAATCAACAATGTCTCCAGATATCACTAAACAACCCCTGGCGGTGGGATACCGCCAAAACCACTGGCTTAGAAGCAGTGACAACCCTGGACCCAGATCTTGGTTTCTAGATCCCATTCCCAAAAAAAACCACAGATTTTTTTTGAGAAAGGGTTGAACAGCTGATTGGTGGGGAAAGTTCCAGATGGCCAGGAGCATACTGTAGTGTCGGAGCGAGAAAGTGCTTAAAAGGGGGGGGGGGGGGGGCACAGAACATGTCAAAGGACAGAGGACAAGAGAGAAAAAGAAATTGAGCTGTGAAGAATTCCCAGTGGCTAAAGCTGTGTCATCTGAGCACCTAAACACCAGTGCCAGACTGTGGCCCAGGAATGAGGCAAACATCCACACTGACATAAACTGATGAATGAATGAATAAAAAATGAGGAGAATTACAGAAGAACCCTATAATACATGTAGATGCCCCCAGCAGTGCAGTTTGATTACCCTGAATGTGGGTAAACTTGGTGACCGGCCACCACTGCAAGGCAGAAATGGGGAGGTGACCTGACAATGGACAGACGAGGCACCACCATATGGTAAATCAGGTGAGTATCACAGTCCTCTAACATTACACACCCTGATGTAAGGAGTAAGATGGCCATGGGACCTCTGTTGTCTTCTTCCCAGAAACCCATAACCCCAGTCTAACCACAAGACACCAGACAAACCCAAACTGAGGGACACTCTACAAAATACCTGACCAGTGTTCTCAAATTGTCAAGAATGTGGAAATAAGAGTGAGGAATGTCATAACCAGAGGAGAATGAGAAGACACTACAATGGAAGTCCCTGGACTCTGGGACAGAAAAGGACATCAGTGGAAAACCTGGTATGACCCAAATAGTCTGTGGTTTAGTCAATAAGGCTATACCAGTGTTAATTTCTTAGCTCTGACAAAGGTATCACCGTCATGGGTAATGTTCATGGGAGGGAAGCACAGGGACTCTGATGTTTGCAACCTGGCTGCAAATCTAAAATGTTCCCAAATGAAAAAGTTGTAAAAACTATTGTAGCTAGTATATGGAAATAAAATTTATTTTTGCGTACTATTCATTCAATGACCTTGCTAAATTCACTTAATAATTCTTATAATGTGCTTACAGATTATTTTCACGTATACAATCATTTTAGTTGCAAATAAAGACAGGTTTGCCCTGGCTGGCTTGGCTTAGCGGTAGAGCACTGGCGTGCAGACCAAGGAGTCTCAGGTTCGATTCCTGCCAAGGGCATGTACTTCAGTTGCAGTTCACCCCCCAGCCTTGGTTGGGGTCATGCAGGAAGTGGCCAATGTGTCCCTCTCACATCAATATTTGTTTCTCTCTCCCTCCCACTCTATCTGAAGATAAACAGAAAGATATCCTCCGGTGAGGATTCAAAATAAATAAATAAATAAAAATGGTTTTACTTCTTCCTTTCAGGTGTGTATCCATCTTACTCATTTTTCTTGTCTTATTGCTCTGGCTAGAATGTCTAAAATAACCTTGAACAGAAGTGGTGATGTTTGACATCCTAGTCTTATTCCTAATATCACAGAATAATGCGCAAAACTCTACATTGACCATAATGTTGGCCAGATGTTTATTTCTGCGAAGTATGTGTATGAATTATGACACTAATTCTGACTGCCCTGATCTGGATTGTACCAGATCCAGCCCTAAGCCACCTGCACGCAGTGATGAACGCCACCTCCTGTGCACATACTAAAACCACACCATAAAGGAGGAGCACAGCCAGCGCCTAGACGTTATTCGTAAACAACAGCCTAGAGCGCACCACAGGCAACAAGGAGGCGGTGCGAGGGGGTCTTCCGCCTAGAAGGTTCCAGAGCCGCTCAGCGCAGCGGTGAGAGGGCACGGCACATGCGTAAAGATGAGTTGAACTTTGCGCATCCTGCACGTTACCGTGTTAGTTTGCACCTCAATGTAACAGTTTAAAAAGTACTGCGAGCACAATTGTTTGGCAGGTTCCTCCCCGTCGAGCGGGGGCGGAGCTTTGCTCTCTGCCCTCCCGGCCTAGGGGCCCGGAAGGCCTGCGAAGACACCAAGGCGCAAAAACAGACGGAGTTGAACTTGGCGCAGAGGGGGCGGAGCAGGGCGGGGCGAAGGGAGGGCCGCGTAGACCCGGCCCGGCTCCGGCTCCGACGGAGGGCGGAAGAGCACATAGTCCTCGGAGCGCGTGTGGGCGGCCTAGCGGGCTGCGGCCCGGACCCCAGCGCGTCCTCCCCTCCCCCGTCCCCAAGATGATGCTCCGGCCCCGGCGGCCACCCCCGCCTGCGCCGCCCGGATCGCTGACGCAGGCCAGCCCAGACCTCGAGCCTGGGTATGCCCCAGGAACTCCGCCTAGACGGCCCGCCTCGCCTGGCGCGCCGGTAGCGCCTGAAATCCCCGGGTCGCCGGTGTCCCCAGGCTCAGCGCAGCGCACGCCTTGGAGCGCCCACGAGACGGAGCTGTTGCTGGGCACGCTGCTGCAACCGGCTGTGTGGCGCGCGCTACTGCTGGACCGCCGCCGAGCGCTGCCCATCTACCGGCGCGTGTCGGCCGAGCTGGCCCGCCAGCAGGTGCGGCGCACGCCCGCGCAATGCCGCCGCCGCTACAAGTTCCTCAAGGACAAGCTCCGCGACGCGCAAGACCAGCCGCCGGGACCCTTCGACGCGCAGATCCGCGAGCTCATGGGGCTGCTTGGCGATAACGGCCGTAGGCGCGGCCGTCGCCGCTCCCCCGGGCCTGGGCGCCCTCCGCGCGGTCGCCGCGCGGTCCCGGGTACGCCCGCCGAGCCGGGTAGGTGGGGTGGGGGAGGGGCGGGCATACCGAGCGGGAGAACCAGGTGGATGGGGAGGGACCTGGAGGTGGAAGAGCGGCGGCGGCCTGGGTGCCCAACCCTGTACCCCCTTCCCATTGCAGACGCCCCGCCGCTGCCTGCCGCCCGAGACCCCGACGTGGACCCCGCCTGGACGCTCAGATTCAGCTCGTCCCCGCCCAAGTCTTCTGAGGCTCCCGGCGATCCCGGCTCCCCGACGGCACTCCCCAGCTTAACCCCCGCGCCCGGCCGTCCCGAGGATCACGCGTCCGACCGCGCCCCCGGCTCCCCGCCGCCCCTCGACCCTGCCTGGGAAGAGCCCGACTCGCCGCCGGGCCGCCCAGAAAACCACGCGCCACCCCAGGCTGCACCCCCGTCGCTGAATGCCGCCCTCCTGCAGACCCTGGGGCACCTGGGCGACATCGTGGCCATCCTGGGCCCCCTGCGCGACCAGCTGCTGACGCTGAACCAGCACGTGGAGCAGCTGCGCGGCTCCTTCGACCAGACCGTGTCCCTGGCGGTGGGCTTCATCCTAGGCAGCGCCGCCGCGGAGCGGGGCGTCCTGGGGGACCCGCGCCCGTGAGGCCTGGCCTGTGCCCGCCCCTTCGGTAACGCCACGGCTCCCTCGGCCCTGACCCGGTCCTGTTGCCCTCCCCCCCACACCTAGGTATGTTGAATAAAAATGGTTGCTTTCCCCAGTTTAATCCTGTGAGTGTGTACAGGTCCAGCCTAGGTTGAACGGCCCCTGTAGGTAGGGAGAGGTTAAAATGGCCAAGGAACCCTAGGGAGGGGCGGGGTGGGGGAGGCCGTGCGCGCGTTGGCTGGATAGTAGTCCCGTGAGAATGTTAGCCAGGGCCTCGTCTAGGAGGCCGGTCCCCAGGGGGGAGGGGCTGTGGAATCTGAGGTTGGGGTCCTCCAGGTCTCACCAGACTGCCCACCAGGACATTCCACCAGCACAAACCGGCCTGGGGGTGAGCACTGCCTGTCTTGCTCGGAACCCTGGTGAGCCCCACCCAGAGAATCCGAGGAAATAGCTTTGAGCTTTGCCTGAGCCTGTGGGGAAGGTGTGAGCAGTCTCTGGCTCCACCATAGGCACCCAGGCCTTTGCAGATAGGGCGTTCCCAAAGTCCCACCTTTTCCCGGCGAGCCTTGGGTCACTAGACTGAGATATCTGAGAAAAGGGACTCCTTAGAGGCGCTTTGGACACAGGCAGGAGACCTATGCACACCTAAGGAAGAGGCTGGTTTTGTCCCCAGTAAGATGATTGGCCTGGGGGCGGGGGGGGATCTGAGACTTTTGACATTGGCTGAGGTCAGAGTTTCTGCAGTTTTGAGAAGTTTTTCTTTTATATCCAAATCGCTGGGAGTGTTTTCCCAAACTAATTGAGAACCCCACTCTCCACCAAAGGGTCTGACTGAGGGAACTGGGTGGAGCCAGAGGTGCCCCCTGCCGAGGTGGAGATAGGAAGTAGCCTGAGGCGCGCTCCAGCATAACAATACCAGCTGGAGTAGAATGGGTGGGGAGCATTTCACCAACTAAGGGCTCATTCAGAGACTTAGGTGATTGCCTGGGGCCACAAAGCTAAGTGAGGGCTAGAGGCTCCCGCTGGCCCTGCCGCTGGTTCCTCCTGGTGGGATTGCAGCCCCTCCCCCAGCCCTTTTTAGGAGACTGCAGAAGAGGCCCCAGTTGGACCCTCAGCCAACAGGATCCCCTGGTGAGCAAAGCTGAGCTGTGTGTTGATGGCAGGCTCTGAGCTCAGTGAGACCGAACCTGCAGGACTGACTCGAAGGGTCACCTCATTTAAAACTCACTGCCTCAGCTCCCAGATTCCCCAGCTGCGTTCCCCAAGGATCTCCAAGCTGCAGGAAGCCTGTTGTGTGTTCTCCGGCTTGTAAACATAGCCCCAGCCCCCACTCATGGGACAGAATCCCAGCAAACCTGCCCACCCCCAAGGGTGGGGACCTTGTCGTTTGGGTGTGTTCATCACTGTAGTCACTAGAAGAGTCGCTTTGGGACCCAAAGAGAATCAACCTAAGCCTCAGAGTTTGAGATATTTGAGGACCCCAGGAAAACCCACAGGCCTTACAGCTGCGTTGACTGGGGCCATGTCTGCGGCTTCCTCCTGGGCGCCCTCCACTGGAGTGACTTGCACCCTCCTGTGTGTACAGCAGTAAGGTCTTCCAACCGGGAGGGGAGAGATTCTGGCTGTTTGTGGTTCCCTTGGCCCACCCCAGCTCCTTGGCGAGTTTCTCTACCATCTTTGCCCTAGAGATGCCCAAATCTCTCACTACCTCAGCTTGCGATTCTTTTCACCTGTGGGTCTGTGAGGTGAAGCATGTACTCGTTTTGCTCTGTCTTATGCTGGGTGTCCCGGTTTTGGCTCTGGGCATGTGAGGTGAACACATCCCAGTGGCACTGGAGTCCGCAGCCCTTGGCACATCTCTGTTCCTCACCATGAGTGTGGGGCAATGTCTCCAGGAGGCCTCCCAGGGCCTCTCTTAAGATTAGCTCCTCCGTCTCACCAAGGGGCTCCTTGGTCAACAGGTTTGCACCTTTTCATTTTGTTGCGGTAAATACACATGCAATTCACATTATCCATTCTCAGGCATGCAGCTCAGTGGCCATAAGGACACACACACTGTCATCACCATCCCAAACTGAGACTGTCCCCATTAGACACTCACTCCCCAGCCCCTGAAAACTACCATTCCACGCTGTTTCTATGAACATGACTTCTCCAGGGACCTCGTATAAGTGGAATCACACAGTACTTGGCTTATTTCATGGACCATAATGTCCTCTAGGTCCACTGTGCTGTGGACTGTGTCAGAATATCCTTCCTTTTTAAGGCTGAATAATATTCCAGTGTGTGGATGGACCCCCTTTTCTTTATCCATGTATGGACACCTGGGTTACTTAATACGTTTTTATTGATTTTAGAGAAAAAGGGAGAGGGAGAAAATATTGATGAGACACATACATCAGCTGCCACCAACATGCCTCCAACCAGGAACTGAGCCCCAAACCTGGGCATATGCCCTGACAGGGAATCCAGCCTTTGACCTCTGCATGCATGGTACAATGTTTGACCAAGCCACACCCACCAGGGTATTTTTCTGGTTTTTGACAACGGTTGTTCCAGTGGGTGTGATTGGCACCTTCAGTGACCTTTACAGAACATGCCAATTACAGCAGTGCCACACTTGATGACTTGACACCCTCCCTCCAGTTGTTTGGTGGCCCCTCTGGCTAGTGTTTCTACCAGATGGTGTCAATTCCTAGTGAAATTACCTGCATTCTCTTTCTCTTCTGTGGTGTGCTGAGGCCCCTAAAGTGTGCACGTCACCTGTATCCCTCAGCTCATGACCAGCAGTGACCATGAGAGGGTACAGCTTCAGGAACATGGGGCTGGCTTTGCTTTTTCCCTATATCCCATGCCTTCTTAGTGCCACCCCACTGTGTGTTCAGGACTGAGTCGGGCCCATGCCAGGACTTAACGTGGATCTTTGTCACCGTCTGTCCATCATGCAGGGCCATGGCAATGGCATACTTTCAGGGGCCACCTGGATGGGCAGCCAGTGGGCTGGAACCAGCTCTGGCCTTTGCAAATAGCCGAAGGTCCCGTTTCATGCCCAAGCCACCAGCTTTGTTTCTCCCCACAGCCTCCTGTGCGGGCAGCTCTGCCTTCCTAGGGGCAGGCCCACCAAGGCTGTCAGCACTGTGTGGATCCGTCCTCTCTGTCCACGTCATTCCTGCCTGTGCTGTGATTCAGTCTAGTACTCACACATAACTCTGCGTGAGCCTGTCCCGTTTCCCTGTCACCACAGATCTCTTCCCCTGGCTGCTGCCATCTGAACTGTCATCTTTGTCACAGGAATCTCCCAGAAGGACATCCCTTCCTGAAGGCCCCGCCTAGGTTATCCAGAGGCAGCCCTGCTCCTTCTGCTGTCTGGTGCACGGCTGTTTCCTGTGTCCCTGGAACAACACTGCAGCATGACGGGTGGGAACGTTTTAGAACTGCACTGCCCATTACAACAAGCACCAGCCACGTGTGGTCTCTGAGCCCTCAAAACGTGGCTCGTGAGACCGAAACACTAAACGGTTTCATCTAAATTAATTTAAATCCCCACATATGCCTCAGATTCCACATTCAGTCCTTACATCAAATTCTAGTGTAGTGTTATCTGTCCTTTGTTTAAGGTCATATCTTCAGAGCACTGCCTTTACATTTACATTTAATTCAAACACCAAATCCCCTTTCTTTCACTAAAGTCAAAGGCCTGGAGCCTGAGACCATCCATGCTTTGACGGAGCACTTCGGTGGAGATTCTCTTCATGGACCACTGTCAGCCACCATTGTGCAGGATGCTTGAGTCTTCATCCCTCTATCTCATCACCCTTCATATATTGATGCTTTTATCACTCTTTCTCCCTTTAATCGTATGATTAATTTTTAGAGAGAGGGAGGAGTGATAAAAGCATCAATTGGGCCCTGGCCAGTTTGGCTCAGCAGTTAGGGTGTTGGCCTGCGGTCCAGAGAGACCCGGGTTCGGTTCCCGCTAAGGGCATGTACCTCTGTTGCAGTTTGCCCCCGGCCCTGGTTGGGTCATGCGGGTGGCAACCACTCGATGTGTCCCTTTCACATCGATGTCTCTCTCTCCCATTCTATCTGAACAAAAGATGGAAAAATGTCCTCTGGTGAGGATAAAAAAAATATATATATATATCAATTGGCCGCCTCCTGTATGCCCCTTACTGGGGATCCACCCCGAAACCTGGGCATGTGTCCTGACCAGGAATCAAACTGGTAACTTCTTGGTCCATGCATGGGTTGATGCTCAACCACTGAGCCACACCAGCTGGGCTCATCACCCCCCTTTTTTTTTTTTTTTTTAATAATCCTCACCTGAGGATATTTTTCCATTCATCTTTAGATAGAGTGGGAGGAGAGAGAGAGAACGAGAGAGAGAGAGACATATCAACTGGTTGCCTCCCACACAACCCCGACCAGGGCTGGAACAAACCACAACTGAGGTATGTGCCTTTGTCAGGAATTGAACCCGAGACTCTTTGGTCCGTGGGCCAGTGCTCTAACCGCTGAGCCAAACTGACCAGGGCTCATCACCATTTTTTAAAATCCCACATTCCATTACTGTATCTTTAACCCACCTCATGCAGACCACTACCATGTTCTCCATGCTCCTCACCTTTACAGAGGGCCATGTCTTTGGTGCCCACTGCGGGTGTGGGGCCAGCGCTGGCCTGAGCACAGAGCTCACATGCACTGTGCTGGCATAAGGGGCCTACATGGGTCCTGGACCCCGGACTTCTCACAGCTTCACAGAACCCACATGTGGATGGGGGGTGGGAGTCGGGTTTGGCCCCCAGAGCCCTGGGTTGCGTGTGGCAGCACTGGGTCCTGGGACTTTTGAGTTCACACTGGTTCCTTCCAGTCACCCACACTCCTGAGGGCAGGATGGAGGCAGGGCCCACTCACCATGTTTCCTGTCAGCTGCAGGGGGAACTCTGCCGGAGCCTCCTAGGAAAGGGGGGCTGTGGGAGAGGGGCCCAGCCAAGGACAGAGAGACCCAGACAAACACAAAAATGAGCCCGTCCCCCACCAGCAGCTCCTTCCAGAGAGGGGAGATCATCTCATCACACCCACAACCTGGGAATCGGCCACCTCCACCCCATCCACCCACGAGGTGCTCTCTCCAGAGACTCTCACTCAGCTGGGGTAGGGTCATGCCCACCTCGCCCCCACTTATTCCTTGGTTCTTTCCACAAACAAGCAGAGGGCCACCAGGTGGAGGGGCCCAAGGGGAGTGTGAAGGGCAAGGCAGCAGGGAGGGTAGGCTGGGAGGCTCAGAGGGGGGCATGGCTGCGGCAGAGGGGGAGGAACGACCCTGTGAGTGACGGTGCGGGAGGAGCTGGCGGGCCACTGCGTGCGTGGGCGAGAACCCGGCAGGTCCGAGGCAGCAGGCCCCCGGACGGGCGGAGCGCAGGGCTGGGGCGTGGGAATGCTCGTGGGGGCGGAACTGCTAGGCCTCGGAGCGACAGACAGGGAACCTGAGCGTGAGGCGCACGTCCACACTCACCTTCAGGGTAGTCACCCTCGCAGGACAGGCAGGAGGCCACTCCGCTGAGTGCAGGCGTGGGAGCAGGGCCAGCGGTGGAGAGCCGAGGCCACACCCGCAATCACTGGGTCTTGGAGGAAGGGCAGCCACCCCAGGGTTGGGGTACGGAACGGGGGGTGGGGGACGGGCATCCCCAAGCTCTCCGCCAAAGCAAAGTGAGGAAGCTGCTGCCAGGCACGGGTGACACGGCTGTCACCGGCTGAAGAAGCTGGGGTTAGTGGGAGGGGCCCGGATTGCAGCAGGGGAGGGGAGACCCCAATGGACCAGAGCCAGGCAGGTGTGGGGACAGCGCGCCGGCGCCCAAGGCTGTGCTGGAGGAAATGATGGAGGGGCCGCTGGGCAGGGCGAGAGCCAGGCCAGGGAGCAGCCAGCCGGGAAAGGGAAGGCGGGCGATGGGATGGGGGCAGGGTCCCGGAGGGTCCCGGCTGGGAGGAAATCGCCCAGCAGAGGTGGAGGACCGGAGAAGGTGCGGGTGCGGTGTTAGGAGGCCCAGGGGCCGGCCCTGAAAGTTGAGAAGCGAGGGGGTGCTAAGAGCGGCTTTGGACAGCTGACGTTTCATGGATCCGAGCTTTGGGCCCAGTGCGGTGATTCCCTGCAAGCGTCGCTCTGTGTCCGGAGGCCTGTCTGTGCCCGCGGAGCAGTCATGGGGGCGTCTGGGGGCTTCCCTTGGCGGGGTTTGTGAGGCACCCCACCCAGTCTGCCCTGGAGAATCTCTGCGCAGACCCCCGCCGGCTCGGCCTCCAGCCCCACACTCCTCGGGACACAGGCGAGTGTTCAGATTCCCAGCCTCACCCCACGGGGTCTGGTGACCAGACACGGCCCGTGCAGGGTTGGGAGGAAGACCTGGGTCAGGACGGTCGGTTCCCGCTGTGCCCGTGGGGGTCGGGCTCCCGGGCCCCGTGCGGCCCGAGAGGCTGTGGAGGCGGGGCTGGGGTGTTAATCCCGGGTCCTGGCCCGCGGGCCTTTGATTCCTCCGGCGGGGGTTGGGGACGCGGGGCGGCCGTCGGTGCCCGGCCCAGACTGGCGCCGGCGCCCCAGGAGCCCAGGCCGCTGACCTCATGGTCAGCATGGAAGCCCTGCCTGTGGCTCAGAGGCCGGACCAGTACCTGCACACGACCCGAGCCGGAGCTCCAGGGGCGCGCGGGGCGGGGCGGTGGGTTTCGGCCCTGGACCCAGCACGCATGCGTCTGCCGCGTGGCGTCCAGGAAACAGGCGGTCCGGCCAAGGTAGGAGAGGTCCAGGTGCAGTGCCGTCTCGGGGTGGGGCGCGTGGTCGGTGGGAATCCACTGCGCTGGGCCCACCTGACTGCGCCCGCCATCTCCCCCAGACCACGGCGCCCTGGAAGCGGACCTGGCCAGTTCAGGAGTGAAGCAGCATTGGGGACAGAGTGACCATCCTTAGGGCACACTCTTGAAGTTTTCGTTGCACTCCCCTCCCCCCCCCACCAGCCACAAAAGGGGCAGCCGCGGAATCATGACCCTCAGCAGAGGGTGGCTCTTCAGCCCGTCCAGCCCAGTTCCTCCCTGGAGCAGAGGAGGGAGGTGCCCACGTCCTGAGCCGGCAGACCCCCTCCTCCTTTGTGTCACTGCAACCTGGAGGCAACTCTTAGGGCACCTTAAAGAACCCCAGCCAAGGGGCTGGTGGGGGCTGGGAATGGCAAGACAAACGGGCCAGGGGAGCAGTGCCCTCCCTCTCTGGGCAGCCCCTCCCTGCTCTGTCTGGCCTGCCTTACATTCCTACCCAGCCAGACAGCCTGGATGCAACCTCGTTCTCACTGGCCGCGCCCACCCTGTCCTGGAAGCAGGATTTTGACTCCTAACTCCAAGCAGCCTCTCTGTTGCTCACCTGTCACCTCTGGCACTGCAGACCTACGCAGCAGGTTGGAGAACAAACCAGGGGAGAGAAGGTGGCCCTGGAACCCCACAGGACAAGCCCCCAGTATGGGTGCTGACATTGGAGGGGGCCATCCTCACCTCCCTACAGCCTAGGCCAGCAGGGTGGGGGTGGGGAGATAAAAGGATGTGACAAGTCCCCAGCCACACAGCCCCACCCCTCCCCCAGACATCTTGGAGCCGGGAGAGGTGTGAATGGCCTCCTTTGTGCCTCTGAATTGAAGGCAATTAGATGCTACTTATCTGGGGGGGATTTGAGCCATCCATGCAAATCCACTTCCCACCCCCTCCTCCTGAGCTATAAATGCAGCCCAGCCCTGCTAAACCTGAGGCCGACCCTGTGCTCCCCGCCCAGCCTGGCCCCGCCCCACCCAAACGGCGCCAACCCCCATCGTCTGTCCTGCAGAGGACCCCAAGCCCGGCCCCCACCTTCTATTCCGAGGCGAATCCTGGGCTGCCCCCACTGTCCTGGCATGCCTCCCTCCTCGAACCTGCCTGGTGACCAAAAGCCGACCTCCAGCTTTGGCTCTGTGGACTGGCTCTCCCAAAGCAGCCATGCGGGGCCGTCGCACACCGCCACACCCGCTGAAGTCTCCTGGGGGAACCCCTCTGCCCCAACCTGGGTGTCCAGCAGTGGGGAACCCCCTCAGACTGTGGGCCTGGAAGAGGTGAAGGCTTCAGCAGTGTCTGCACCAGGGACATCCACGAATGGTAGGTCTGGGGGTGGGGAGCGGCCTCCTTCCTTCCCAGGCTGGGAGCTGGGGAGGGCTCAGGGGGAAAGGGCCAAACATACCCTGCCGCCTCCTGTGTGCTCGGTGGGAGGAGGGGCATTTTTACAAGGGCTAGGGTCTGCAGTTCTGCCTCATCCCTCTGGCAAGTGAACACTTCCCCTTTGAAGCAAAAGCCACATGGGGGGATTTTCTCTCCTCAGGCCCCTTGGTGCTCCTCTTCTTCACCTTCTTCTGGAGGGCTGGCCCTTGCTCTCACCCAGGCCTGGCTGCCCAGACCGTCCAGGAGTCACTACCCTTGCCCAGGTCCTCACTGTGAGCCATCACGCTGACATTAGCCATTTGTGCATGTGGTTTTCTAGTCATAATAGTCCCGGACCCATTTTTACAAGAGTCACATGTCGGCCATAAGTACATCTTGAAGCTTGCCACCCTGGCCCAGGTCAGAGGGTGCTTGTGGTCCCCTCACGCACCCAAAGCCAGGAGCCCAGTTTGGCATCTAGACGGCCACAGTGCCCCTGGAATCCTGCAGGTTTGGTTTAGGGAAACCTCTGCTTTTCCGTACGTGTAAATTATACGTGTGAATTCGCTGCCTTCAACCCATTCAGCTCTGGGAAGGCTCCGTGACTCCTGAGCCTTATCTCACCATTTGTCATTTGCTGACATCACTTTCTCAGTTTGTGACTTAGTCATTGCTTTTAAGTTTAAAGTCCTACATGGTTGAAAGTAGGGGTTGATATTATCTGTAAGTTTTAGTATAAGTAATCCTTATGGAGTAATTTTATACTTTGATAAGGTGAAATTTTAAATGTATTCTCTGCAACCAGAAAAAAAACCCAGCCAATTGCCCTGCATCAGAATCCTTGCTGCTGGCTAGTCATCCCCGCCACCCCCACAGCCCCTCCAGAATGGCTGTGTGCTCCTCTGGTGGACACTGCAGGAAAGTGTTAAAATCTTGTAAAATCTGCTTCTCCCAAAATAACCGATTGGTATGCTGGTCAGACTTGTGTTCAATAAAGACCGTGTAAAGGATCTCCATCACAGTGGCTGACTACCTTGTGGGGGGTTCTGGGTGCCATCTCCCACCTCCTAATTTAGAAATTAGAAGACAGACTTCCAGACACGTGGTTGGTGATGAAGGCTACCTTCCCAGTCCCTCATAGGCCTTGCATACTATGGTTTCTACCCGCCCTACCCCCACCTGCCCCTCTCACCTGGTGAACAGGAGTTCCTTGTCTGCAGGCAAAAGAAACTGCTTTCTGGAAGGAGGTGGGGTGGGTGGGAGTCATTCTTCTGGAAGGAACCGTGTGCCCTGGGGTGGTGGGTGAGGGTCTTAGTCAGAACTACTGCTCCATCCATAGTAATATTTCTTCAGTGTCTACGTTTCTATGCTGTCCTGAGCACAGCCTCTGGATCCTGTTGCACACTTGGCTGGGCAGGGGGCCGAATGGGACAGCAGAACACTGGAGGGGTGTCATAAAAAGTGAGGCTAGGGAGGGCAGTCTGCCCTCCTTCAGGCCCCTGTCATATTTATCACTGTGTCTGTCTTCAGCCACAGAGTTTGTGGCACCTGCTGAGAAAGAGGAGTGTGTCTTTTATGGGCCAATGTTTCTTGTAGCCAAATGGACTCCGTGCCCTTCCATCCTCCCCCAGGGTTGAGCAAGGAGGCAGACAGCACCAGGCCTCCCCGAGTCCGCACAGCCTTTACGGAGGAGCAGGTCAGCACCTTGGAGAGCTCATTCCAGCACCACCGCTACCTGGGCCCCCTGGAGCGCAGGAGGCTGGCCCAGAAGATGCGGCTTTCAGAGGTGCAGGTGAGGTCCCTGGGCTCAGCTGGCCACGCAGGGCTAGGGGGGTGGCCTGTTCGCCCCTCTGATCTTGTTTTCCCCGCAGATAAAAACCTGGTTTCAGAATCGCCGAATGAAACACAAACGCCAACTGCAGGACTCACAACTGAACGTCCCCTTCTCTGGAGCAGTCTACACACCCTTGGCTTTCTGCCCACCACCCTCTGCCCTGGGCAGCTGCCTGCAGTTGCTGCACCCTTGGGCATCCCTGCCTGGGCCCTCGGCTCTGGCACAGCCCCCTGGCTCCTTCTGGGGCCCCTGCCAAGTGGAACAAGCCTCCCTGGCCTCGGTGTGGGCCCCAAGCAGCAGACCGCCTCTGATGTGCTGCCTCCCAGATCCTGGGAACCAGGCGCACACACTGGGCCCAGCCTTGTCCAGGGGAACCTGGGGCCCGTGTATTCTGCCAGAGACCGGGGATGCCTTTTGAAGAAGCATAGCAGTCCAGTAGCCTGCAGCTGGGGCATGTCAGAAGCTAAGCCATCCCTCCCACACACCGGGTGTGTGCAGAGCATGCCTGGCATCTAGCTGGAGAGATAGTCTGCATGTCTGTTTATGTCACACTAACGCCCTGGCCTGGACCTTGTGCTCCTGTACAGAGGGGACCTGGAACCCTGGCCCACCTTAAGATTCTGGAGGGTTTGCAGTTGGAGACATTGTAAAGCTGCCCCTTCACTGAAAGCTGTTGAAGGGTTTGTGACGGCTCCGTGAACAGAATCGAAAGCCAGAGTGGACTTGTTCTGTGATAGGCTGTTAGCATCTGATAAAGGGTAATCTGTTCAATCTAAGGTCTTGGAAAAATGGCTTTTCCGTTGGAAAAAATAAAGGTGGACGCTTTTCTTTTCCAGGGCCAGGCACATGGCCCTATCCTGAGCCCCCCAGTTTTTGGCACCCAGGCTGTGATCTCGGGGGTGGGCAGGGGAAATTGCTCAGGGAGTATGAGTCCCTTTAGGACCCCATAAACCTCACGAAGAAAGTGGATATGGTGGACTTGTCCTTAGGGCATTTGCAGTGACCCTGCATACCCCCTGCTACACTATTTTTTAAATTGGGCTCTCCAGGACACTGGACTGCTCTGCCCAACCTCCTGGTTGGGACTCTGGTGCCTTTGTCCCTGCCCAGGAAGCTGTTGACGGGGGAGGGGGGGACACCACTCCCCGCAGCTGGGGTGCAGCATGTGACCCACAGGGGCGCAGGGGAGCTCTGTCTTTTCCTGGGCCCAGGAGCTAAGCTGCAGCCACTGTCAGGATAAAAGTGGAGAGCAGCCCTGGCTGGTTTGCTCAGCGGTTAGAGCATTGGCCCGCAGATTAATGAGTTGCGGGTTTGATTCCGGTCAAGGGCATATACCTTGGTTGCGTGTTATCCCCAGCTCTGGTCAGGTCGTGCGAGAGGCAGCCAGTCGATGTGTCTCTCACATCGATGTTCCCCCCCCCACACTCTATCTGATAATAGAAAAATATCTCCAGGTGAGGCTTAAAAAACAATAGTGGAGGGCAAAGCAGAGTCTTTTGGCATCCTAGGTTCAGCCATGCCTACGTCCCACAGTTGTCCCCACACAGGGAACACAGGTGTCTGGATCAGTGCAGTTTATGCATTGGGGTCCCACTGGAGTCTCAGGGCTCAGCAGCAGAGCCAACCGCCAGCACCCTGGGGAGGAAGGGTGGGATGGGAGGGAGTTGTTCTGCCTGTCGTCCCTGCTGCGCTGACCCCTCCCACCCAGAGACTGGTCCTCTGAGGGAGGAGCCAACTCCAATCAGTGAGATTAGGGGAGAGGCCGCCTGGGCAGGACACTGGCTGATAGAAGAGCTAATCATTCCATTTGCTGGACAGAGGCTGACAGTTGTTTAAGCTCTCAATTCACAGGGCTCCTCTGGCCTTTTCCTCACCAGGAGGTTAAGACGGGAGCCCAGGCCTCAGAGCGGGAAGGTGCTGTCCCCTCATAGTCTGGCCCCAGCATTCCTGACATCACCGCCTTCTGTGCTCAGACACCTTGGAAGTGCCCACTTCCAGTGACTGGTCATCAGGTCACCAGGAACCACCCCAGCCATGTGCGTGGCCTTGATTCCTTCTCTCCACAGGACCACCCTGACCGATGTGACCCCCACCCCGACAGATGAGAAAGCCAGCACACAGCAGCCACAGCTTTGTTTTTTTATTCATTTTTATTCTCACTCGAGGACATTTTTCGTATTTTGTTCAGATAGAGGGGGAGAGAGAGAGAGAAACATCAACGTGAAAGGGACACATCAACCAGGGCCGGGGACAAACTGCAGCCGAGGTGTGTGCCCTTAGCAGGAACCGAACCCGGGTCTCTCTGGACCACAGGCCATCACAGCTTTGTTTTATACTCATTGTCAAAACAACACCACACTGAACTTCCCTTGGAATTAGCTTTATTGACATTTCTGGTCAGAACATCAACTGCTCATTATAACAACCCCTGCTGGTATTCATGCCACACCCTAGTCAGTCACCCTGTGTGGCCCTAGAACCCAGTGAGATTAGTCACAGAAGGGCTCTCGGGCCAGCTCACCCAGCTCCTTGGGGCCTAGACCATCCTCCCCACACCTCCAGGACACAAAAACATTTCCCGAATTCTCATCAGGGATATTCGACCCACCCCCGCCAGAGGAGGAGGGCAAGGAAGCCCCCTGGTTCCCATGATTCGCCGAGGGAAGTGGAGGCAGGTCAGGATGCCGGTGCAGCGGAAGGAGAACCTCGTCACCCCATTTTCCCATGCCTTACACCTCTTTAGGCCAGACCCTCAAAGAAGTATATGCATAGGAAAAAGGAACCACGAGAGACGTCGGGCGGCTGCTGGGCACCGGGGCGGCCATCCTGGTGAGGCTCCTGCGGGACCAGCTGGAGGAGCTGCAGGAACTTGAGTCCGGTGGGTGTGAGCTGTGCCGGGCAGGGAGGCAGGGAGGCCGAGAGCTTCCAGCTTACCTGCTCCAGGCTCCGATCTCAGGTCCTGGGCGGCCAGCGAGGCAAACGGCCTGGAGCATGGAGGAGAGCTGTCTGACCGGAGCTCTGCAGCTGCCGGCCGCGCGCCCCATTTATGTGAGGTGGAGACCTTGGCGGCTGGGCGCACAGGGCAGTGGCTGTCACATGTGGTTGCAGGCTGCACGGCCAAGGACCTGGCCACCCCCGCACCTGTGAGATCCAGGGCACAAAGACCCGCTCTGAGCAAAGTGCTGAGTTGCGCAGAGCAGGAGGGCGGGCGGTGAAGCCCACGGATCCTGGGGGCTGCTAGCTGGGACCTGGGATGGGGCCAGGCCCCGGCCCCCCTCCTCCAGCACTTATCTCCCAACGTGCAACTGCGTCAGGGCTGGAAAGTGCACACGGCGTCTTTCCCGTTCCCTCCCTGCTCCCTGCTCAGAGCACTGAGCCCCGAGACCTCCACTCCCCACCAGTGTGCCCAGAGGATTAGGGGTAGTTTTTCAGGGGTACATGCACCTGAATGTGTGCCCAGCTCTGCTCCCAGAATCCCTGGGGCTGTGTGGAGAAGGGCAGGAGCTCTGCAGTTCTGGGGGCGAGAATACAGGAACAGGCTGGGGAGACGCACCTAGGGGAGAGCTGATCAAAGACCCAAGGCTGCAGAAAGAGAGGCCATACCACACACACACACACACACCACCCCTCTCCCAGACACATGCCCCCAGGCAAGGCACCTCAGCTCCTGTTGTGTGTGGAAGTATGTGTCCCTGTGTCTGGGTGTGCATACAGCAACACCTGTGGGGTTGGGGGCTTGTCGGGCTGTTGCATCCATATATCTGATGGAGCTGGGGGCTCCTGGGTGGAGGTACAGGTGGCACAGGGGAGGGAAGTCAGCTGAGAGACGGACACACCCAGGCCCTCTTGACATGACCCCACGATGGCCTGGACCCCAGTTGGGCCCAGGGATATGACTGAGAAGCTGCAGACCCTGGGCTGAGCAGGACAACAGGTGCAGACCAAGTTCTCCGGGAGGGGTTGGCCTGGGATTTCAGGCCACTGCACTGTGGGTGATGGAGTCAGAGGAGTAGAGAGAGTAAAGGGTCAGTGGGTCAGGACCTCCTGGGCCAGGCGGGACCTCTGAGCTGGATGCCCCCTGAGGCTGGGGGTGGGAGACAGAGAGGGGTGTCACACTGCCAGGAGGGTGATGGGGCAGGGCGGGGCCTTGGTGGAGGGGGAAGCTCTCCAAGAGCCCAGACAAGCTCACACTCGCTCACGCAAACACATTCACACACTCTCTATACTCTCACATTCATGTACTCACACTCACATGCTTGCACACTCACCTACTGACATTCACAGACACTCCTCACACTCATTGAGGCCCTAGAGGGGAACCACCTACTGAGTCTTAGGCTGATAGAGAAGCCCCCACAGGGGTTGGGGTGCAGCAGACCTGTTCCCCTCTGACTCCCATCAGCCCTCTCTGCTCACAGCTGCCTCTAGGGCTTCTGGGAAAGCACTGTAGTTCTTGACCTTGGATTCCTGGGGCCTGGCTGAGCCTCTGCAGGAAGGAAGGAGGCCAGGAGACCAGAGACAGATGGACAGGGAGACAGTGGGAGAAGGCCCTCTATTGCACTAAGACCGAGTTCTTCACTTTGTTTTCTTAAACTTCTTTTCCTGATTATAACTCAATGCAGCTGGTTATAAAGCGGTTTTAAAATCCAGAGGTGTGAAGACAAGGACAGGCCGTTAACCTGCCCTCTAGGGTGTTGCTGCCTCAATCATTGTCCCCTGACCTCCTTTCCCTTTGAAACTAAGAAGCCCAGGGCTTGTCCCGGGGTGCAGTAACGGGATTCCCCACCGGCCTGAGAGGAGGGGACCAGACCGCTGTCTGGGTTTCCCCAAGGCCAGGAGATAACACGGTAAATTCTGGGTTCAGGAGCCTCCCCCTGGCTGCGCTGTGGGACTGGTCAGAGGGAGGAAGGGGCTGCAGAGCCAGGCACTGTGTGGGGCTCCAATCCCAACCGCCGCCTGGCTGTGGCCCCCGAGAGCCCTCACCCTCAGGGTCTGAGCCCCTCACATGCCTGTTCTGCATGTCTGGAAGGTGAAGGATGGACGCAGGGACAGCTTCAGCCCTGGAGAGCTGAGGTCAGGAGGCCCCCAGTGGGTGGACACGGGCCACTCACCACCCCACAGGTGCCCCTGCACACCCACCCTACTCCAAGCTCAGTGCTCTGAGTGAGACCAACACTGGGCCACACAGCTTGGCCGCACCTGTCCAGGGACCCAGCCAAACTTTTCCAGGAGCAGCGTGGAGCAGGAACACTGGGCAGAGCCACCTCCCCAAGTAATGAGGATGGTTCTGCTGGACGGACACTGAGGCCAGATTCCAGAAGACCAGATGCAGCTCACACGGGGTCCTGCCCATCACTCCTGGGTCCTCCAGACAGACCCCCACCCCCAGGCCTCTATGTCCTGTCCCCATCACCTGGG